CTTGGAGGTTTATCTGTGTCCTCAGGGTCACCTGAGTAGTGCAAATGATTCCTGTAGTTTGCAATTTTTTCTCCTCTGGAAATCCCTTCCTACTCCCACCCCATTCAAAGGGTGTGCATCCCAAATAGCATAGCTAAAAGTCTGTGGAGATTCTCATTCATCCAGGTCATGGTTGTCCCAAAAGTATTTTTTTCTGGACATCCTTATCTAGGGTTTTTTGTTCTCCTGGACTTTCTGGACTTTTTCTGGACTTTACGGACTCCCCCCCCCCCCAATGGTTTGGGAGTAGGAATGGATTTCCAGGGAAAAAATTGCAGGCTACAGGAACCATGAGCACTACTCAGATGACCCTCAGGCTAATTCTGCTGATTGCCAGCAGTTCGAATCTCAACCAGGTTGACTCAACCTTCCATCCTTCCGAGGTGGGTAAAATGAGGACCCAGATTGTTGGGGGACAATAGGCTGACTCTGTAAATAGCTTAGAGAGGGCTGGAAAGCACTTGTGAAGCGGTATATACGTCTTAAGTGCTGTTGCTATTCTTGCTATTCTTAAGAGAAAACGTACAGAAGCAGAAACTTGGGGATTGGCATGTCCTAACCCAGATGTCTCTTTCCCAGGGGAAACCGGCATTGGCAAATCAACCCTCATGGACACGTTGTTCAACACGAAGTTCGAAAGTGACGCTGCCACCCACAAGGAGCCTGGTGTACGGTTGAAAGCAAGGAGTTATGAACTTCAGGAGAGCAACGTCCGTCTCAAGCTGACGATTGTCGATACGGTGGGATTCGGAGACCAGATCAATAAGGATGACAGGTACTTTAAAAGATAATAATGATGGTATCTATTCAGTCATGTCCAGCTCTTGGTGATTCTGTGGCCCAGGTCTCTCCACAGCTTCCGATCTCGCACTACTTCTTTGACCCAAAGGTGCTTTTTTTCAGGAGGTAACTGGACTCTCTTGTTCTTTTTTTTTTTTCCTTTTGAAGACGTTTCGCTTCTCATCCAAGAAGCTTCTTCAGCTCTTGACAGGATAGGTGGAAATGGAAGGATTTGATATTCCTTGCAGACAGCTGGTCATTTGCATCCTTTTAGAGGGACATTGAGGTCACTTGGAAATTTATCTGTGTCCTCGGGGTCACCTGAGTAGTGCTAATGGGTCCTGTAGTCTGCAAATGTTTTTCCACTGGAAATTCCTTCCTACTCCCACCCCATTCAAAGGGTATTTACCCCAAATTGTGTAGTTAAAAGTCTGTAGAGATTCTCAGTCATCCAGGCCATGGTTGTCCCAAAGGTGCTTTTTCAGGAGGTAACTGGACTTTGTTCTTTTTTTCTTTTTGAAGACGTTTCGCTTCTCATCCAAGAAGCTTCTTCAGCTCTGACTGGATGGTGAAGAATGGAAGGATTGATATTCCTTGCAGACAGCTAGTCATTTGCATCCTTTTAGAGAGTCCTTGAGGCCACTTGGAGATTTATCTATGTCCTCAGGATCACCCGAGAAGGGCTAAAGGTTCCTATAGTCTGCAGTTTTTTCCTCTGGAAATCCCTTCCTACTCCCACACAATTCCGAGGGTGTTCATCCCAAATTGCACAGCTAAAAGTCTGGAGAGATTCACAGTCATCCAGGTCATGGTTGTCCCAAAGGTGCTTTTTCTAGACTTCCTTATCTAGGGTTTCTTCTTCTGGACTTTTTCCCCCTCTGAATGGTGTGGGAGTAGGAACACTGTACACTATTCACTGATTTAAAGGAGGCCCTTTCCTCCATTATTATTGTTGTTGTTGTTATTGTTGTTGTTATTTTGTGACTTTATTCTTTTTTATATATTCATTCAAAGCACCTGGTGCTTTGACTCTAGTTATTGGAGGAGAACAGAAAAAGAAAGCATTTTTTTTTCTTATTCGTACACAAGTTGTCCTCAACTTACAACCACAGTTGAGTCCAACATTTCTGTTGCTAAGTGTGACATTTGTTAAGTGAGTTTTGTTCCCTTTTACGGCTTTGCTTGCCACAGTTGTTAAGGGAATCACTGCAGTTGTTAAGTTAGTAATACGGTCATTAAGTGAATCTGGCTTTCCCATTGACTTTGCTGGTCAGATGGTCGCAAAAGGGGATCATGTGACCCCAGGACACTGCAACTGTCATAAATATGAGCCAAGCATCTGAATTTTGATCACATGACCATGGGGATGCTGCAATGGTCAAAAGTGTGAAAAACAGTCATAAGTCACCTTTTCAGGGCTGTTGTAACTTTGAACGGTCACTAAATGAAGTGACTAAATGTTTCAAGTATACAGTAAATGTTTTAAGTATACAGGTCATCCCCGACCCACATCTGTAACAGAGCCTGCCCACTGTGGTTGTAAGTCGTGATGGTCATAAAATGGGTCAGCCCACATGATCTTACAACCTACAAACCTCATAGCTTCGATCAGTTGTAAAGCGAGCACTGTGTTTCCCCGAAAGTAAGACCCTGTCTTATATTTATTTGCCACCAAAAAAGGCACCAGGTCTTATTTTGGGGGGATGTTGTCCACTGACTCACCTCACTTGCCTGCATTGCCCCTGGCCATCTTTTTGCTGTCAGAGGCCTTCAGAAACTTCTTCTGCAAGACTTTCCTGAAGGCCTCTGCAGCTGATATCGGAAATCCTTGCCGGCTGCAGAAGAAATGGGCCAACATGGCAGGTGTCAGGGTGTGCGAGGCCTGGCTGCAACTGTCCAAAAGTAAGTAGTAGGGCAGCTCCACGCCCCCCCCCCAGCTTAATTTTTATCCGTGCAGCCTGGAGTGGGGCAAGGATCTTAATTAGGGCTTATTTTTTGGGGGGGTAGGTTTTATATTGGGCACACGTGTTAAAAAAAATCAAGCTAGGGCTTACTTTTGAGGTAGGTCATATTTTTGGGGAAACATGGGACATGTATCAGTTTTCTCCTAAAGGTCCATCGTGAATGCAAGTCAGAATACCTTCTCAAACCTTGCTGACGTTTCTCAACTTCTTCTTCTGTTTATCTCTTTTGACTAATTCTTTTAGTAGGAAGCAGTAGTTCTTCTTTTAACAGTCCTCGAGTTTGGGGAAGACCTTCGTTTTGCTTTGGAGGCCAATAACTGATCTTGAAATGCTATTTTTTTTTCCATTCTGAGGATTGGAGATTTTAATGAATGCATCAAACTTGGACACCAAGGGACAATCCCTGCCTGCTGGAAGGGATCTTTTGGGAAGCAGCATAGATACTTTCAAACCAAGAGAAAGGACAGACTGACAGACAGAGAGCCAAAGAGAAAGAGAGACCAGTTGTTCAAAAGGAAAAATACCTTGGCATTTCTTGTCTGCTTTGCATGTGATTTAATTCGGGAAGGGTTTGCAGCGAGCTTTCCTTCATCTGTTAAGATCTTCTTTGTTAGAAAGGCACCCTCTGAAGGTGATATAAATAGGCAAGCTGCTATCCCAATATGCCTTGACACAATCGAAGGCTTGTTTCAAATAAACATTAGCCAAAGCTGTCAACCACAGTTAATCATAGTTGCTTAAAACAACAACAACTATGGGGTCCAAAAGCTGCTAATCAAAGATGGCAATTGAATCCTTTATGGAAAAACCTTCAGTTTTTCAAGAAGGCATATTGGCTAATTGCGTCAATCCTAGAAGGCAGTAAAGGCTGCCTTGGATGTGATATATATTGTCCCTGAGCCATGGTGGCTCAGTAGTTAGAGTGCAGTACTGCAGGCTAAATCTGCTGACTGCTAGCAGTTCGATCCAGCTCAAGGTTGACTCAGCCTTCCATCCTTCTGAGGTCGGTAAAATGAGGACCCAGATTATTGGGGACAACAGGCTGACTCTGTAAACAGCTTAGAAAGGGCTGGAAAGCACTGTGAAGTGGTATATAAGTCTACGTCCTGTTGCCATTGCTATCTCTTGTTGGGGAGGGGAAGGATAAGTAGCAGGAAGGTTCGTTAGAGGTAGTCCTTAACTTACAACCACAATCGAACCCCACCTTTTGTTGCTAAGCGAGACAGTTGTTAAATGAATTTTGCCCCATTTTACAACCTTTCTTGCCACCGCTGTTAACCGGATCATGCAGTTGTTAAGTTAGTCACATGGTTGTTAAGTGAATCTGGCTTCCCTGTTGACTTTGCTTGTCAGAAGGCCACAAAAAGGGATCACATGACCCCCGGATACTGCGACTGTCATAAATATGAGACAGTAGCCAGGTGTCCAAATTTTGATCGCATGACCATGGGGAAGCTGCATCAGTCATAGATATGTAAAATGGTCATAAGTCACCTTTTACAGTGCTGTTGTAACTTTGAACGGTCACTAAATGAACTATTGTAAGTCGAAGACTACCTCCATAGAGAGAATGACACCTAAGACACATCCCTTACTCTCAACCTGACCACAATTAAGCCAGGTCTCAGTGACTGCCAACTAACAGACTGTTGCAAAACCAGTTTAGGTTTAAACTGGCAAAAATAAAATACTCATTTTAAGCAATGGTGATAATTTAAGTTATCTTTTTGGGGGGATATCTTGTAACTTTGAACAGTCACTAAGCGATCATTTATAAACCAAGGAGTGTTGTGGTTAGCTGGCAGTAGGTGTGGGCGGCTGAGGAGAGCGAGGACTCATTATGGTGAGGGGCCAGGACCATTAGGGAGTGGTGCCTTCAGAGATTGTGGGGGCTGGCAGCAGCGATGAGGAGGTTCCCGAGGAGCCTGTGCCAAGTGCGCGCAGGGCTGCTCACAGGAGAGAACAGTTACAACAGCACAGGCGACTTAGGAATAAGGCTGCAAGGTAATGGCCCCTCCTTCAAGAAGATAAAAGCCAGCTGTGAATCGGACGTTCTTTGCAGGAAGCAAAGACGTTTTGAAACTCTAGCCTCGTGGACACTGCAGTATCTTAAGTTGGTATTTGAAGACTCTTGTGTTGTAAAATATCTCTAGGTAACCTGATCTGTTATTCTTGGCAGCTTCGCACAGTTTTGGCAAGGTTTGTGCTTATCAAAGTTAATTAGTTTGCAGCAGCCTTTTAACCGGGGATTTGTAAGAATCATTAAAAGGTTTCTGTTCCCTTTGGTTCGTGTTTGTCTTCTTGGAAAAGGGTTTGGGTCAGAACAAGGAGTACTTGTACCATTCTTCTCAAAGAAGTGAGGTTTGTGGGCTGCCAAAGGAAGATTGGGACTTCCTGCCATCCTTCTTCCGTCTCTGATAAAAGGGTCTTGTGTAGATTATATTTAATGAACAGTGAATAAGATTTGCAGTGCAATAGTTACCCAGCTAGATAAGCAAGTTCGTTCCACATATGGTGAGCTGGAACCATTTTTTAAAAAATTGTTTTCATGTGTCCAGTGACCCACAATTTGAAATCTCTTACTTTGCTTGTCTTTATACTAGACCATTCTGGTGTAAAGAAAAAGATTATTTCCACACAAACACACTGTGGGAAAAACCTGTGAATTCTCGCTTTGTTTCACATGGATTTGAAAGTTTATAGATTACTTAAAACGTTGGGTGGGTGAGTTGATTTTAGCTAACAGCCGGGCTATTTTGACCATTCTGTCTTGATTTTTCCTAAATAGGGAATAATCTTTCACAAGGAATTCATGGAATGTGTGGTTTGGGGGAGAGAGAGAAAAAGAAATTCAAGATGCGTCATTTTAAGACCGTGGAAACATAGAATGGGAAACTGATGAGTGGAAGATCTTTCTCTGGGTGTATATGTGTATAAAATAGCATGGGTGACCCTTAACACATCCTGCCTTTATAGTTTCATTCCTCTGTGAAATTTAGCATTCTTTCTTTTTCTGCCATCGGCTTACCATGTTTCTCCAATACACACATACTTTGGAATAAGGAATACTATGTGAGCAAATCAGCTTTTTCATTATAATTACATTGAATACTGGATCATGTAATAATCACTGGATTTCATTGGATCCTGGGTTCACACAGTATCTGCTGTTGTCTGTTGTCTAGTTGCTTTCACAAGAACCTTCTATGCCCATGATCACACTTTCTATCAGGCTCTCTGAGAGTCTGGAAAGAGTGCAGAAAGGAGGCTGAAGGCTAAAACATAGGAAGAACGGTTGCAGGAATTGGGTATGTCTTGTAAAAAGAAGGACTAGGGGAGATATGACAGCAGTGTTCCAGTATTTGAGATGCTGTCACAAAGAAGAGGGAGTCAGGTTATTCTCCAAAGCACCAGAAGGCAGGACAAGAAGCAACGGATGGAAACTAATCAAGGAGAGAAGCAACCTAGAATTAAAGAGAAACTTCCTAACAGTGAGGACAATCAACCAGTGGAACAGTTTGCCTTCAGAAGTTGTGGGCACTCCGAGATCTAGCCATGATTTTAAAGTTCCTCGCGCATCAAGAAGGTCTTTGTATTTTATCATTTTATTAAGATCTAGATTGTTTCGATGTATCATCGCCTCCATCGTTGAGATCCAAATTGGGATTTTTAAGTAATGTTTTTTTAAAAATTTTGTTCCAATTAGCCAATAAGGAATCTCTAATTATATGCCTGTGGAAATACTTCTGCTTAATTTTGCCAGTGTCCCATAAAAAGGCATGCCATCCCCTCTGTAAATCATGGCCTGAAAATAAGATCCTTTTATTCGACAGATTTACCCACTTTTTCAACCAGAGTAAGGAGGCTGCACTACAATATAATTCCCAATTTGGGAGTGCCATACCTCCCCTGCTCTTCATGTGACTCTGGGACACTGCAACCGTCATAAATATGGGCCAGTTGCTAAACGTCTGAATTTTGATCATGTAACCACAAAAATGCTACAATGGTTGTAAGTGTGAAAAACGGGCATACGTTGCTTTTTTCAGTGATCTTGTAAATTTGAATGGTCACTAAAGGAAACTGTTGTAAATCAAGAACTACCTGTATAGTTGCTGCAGGAGCAAGGTGGATTTATAGTTGCTGCAGGAGCAAGATGGATTTGAATGGGTGAGTTGGGCCTAATGTCCAGAATAGGTTAAGCTCTTCCAAGCCAATGAGTTGACTGAGGCTATGGAAGATCTGACTTTGGACTGTGGATAGGGCAGTGTCCAAAATTGTTGCTTATTCAGATTTAAATATTTCTAACCACAAGATGAGGTCCAAGAAGGAACAACCCAGCCACATGGATTTATTCCCCTGTTTTGTGCTGTGTCAGCTTCTATTATAATTTGGTCTGCGTTCTATAAAACCTTCCTTATCTTCAAACTTGGAATTCGCTATAAGCCCTCTTCGTTCCCTCAGTGTAAAGTTTCTTCCTTGTTTAATGCTGATGTGAGGGAGATTGGGAACAGCTGTCAGAAGATGCTGGCAGTTTTTTTTTTTATTATTATTATTCAAATTCCAACGAGATGCCCTGATAAACAGACCCTGAATCAGAGCATCCTGCAGCTCATTAGGAGCTCTTTAGATACATAGAGTTCACCCTCAGTTGAAGAGCCGGCTGTCGCCCCCCCCCCCCCAAAAAAAAAGTTCATGAAAAAGAATAGTTCACTGCCTCCTTAAGTATACAAATGTGCTCACGAACTGTGTAAAAAGTTGTTCAGAAGCAGCACAATGCTAGATATGGGAGATGACCAGACTGGGCCAGAGGGAGGTATCAAACGCACCATTAGTTTGGAATCTCTGCACCTCCATAAGAGGCCTAAATCCAGCCCTCCTTAATGTCTTTTTGACTCTTTTTCCGGTGCCAGTTTGCCTTGGATCATTAGTAGTTCAGATTCTTATGTATCGCTACCATGAAATAAACTTGTAGCACTCTTGAACTCTATCCTCTAATCCTTGCCTGGCACTTCCACAGCCCGGTTCGCAATAGGCTGCAGCCTGGCACTGGGCTATGGCCCAAAGGTTGGGTACCCTTGTTCTCTCCTATCCCAATTTTTAATTGATAATTGGGTACCCCTTTTCTAGCCTAATCAATTTTTAATTGATTAATTTTAATAATTACATTTCTAAGTGCTTAATAAACATGTTGTCTGGGTATTTAATTTGTTTAACAATATTAATCTTAATCTCCACCCCTTTTTTTCCAACCACTGGTAGAATAAATTCCATGTTTGATAGTATTCTGTGTCTTCTTTCTGCTTAATTTTCAATGTCAATCTATCTATTTCTGCACAGTCTAATAGTATCTTCTTAATTAACTTTTCATCTCGCAGTGTTTCTTCATTTTTCCAATGTTGTGTGAATATAATTCTCGCTGCTGTTACAACATGTAATATTAAACACATACTTATCTAATTTTTCTGATATTATACCTAATAAAAACAATTCAGGTTTAAAATCTACAGGTTTCCCTATCATCCTTTCTAGCCACCTGTGTATCTTTGCCCAACATTTTTTTGTTTTATCACAAATCCACCACATATGATAAAATGTGTCCGTCTTTTGATTACATGTCCAGCATTTGCTAGACATATTTTTTAAACATTTTAGCTAACTTAGCAGGTGGTAAACGCCATCTATAAAACATTTTATATAAATTTTCTTTATAAGAAGTTGCCGTTGTTACCTATCCTGGATTCTTTCGAACTCTATCCTGGTTTCTGACTTCTTGTACCTGACATTAAGATGATACCACCTGTTGTTGAGCAACTATGATTAGCATAATATGTAAATCATATTTAAATGTCACATGATTCGCATAATATGTAGATCATATTTAAATGTCGTCCCCATGTGGGATGCTCGGAGTCATGAATACAAGTAACCCTCTATTTCAAACTGTAATGGAACGTATCCATTATGGTCATGACAATTGTAAATTGCATTGTCACATGACCAGATCACATTTTTACAGCTTGATGGCAGTTGTTAAGCGAATACCACAGATGTTAAAAGGAACCAATTGTTCACTATGGGGCAGTTTTGCCAAAAATAAATGCCAGTTTTCAGCAAAAAAAACCATTATAAAATGGGATATTGCAGATGGCTATAAATATAGGCCAGTTAGCCAAGTGCCCAAAATGCCATCACGTGATTGGTACAGTGGTGGCCATTGGAACTTTGGACCAGGTCATAAGTACCCTTGGGGAGGTCTGTCATAATTTTGAATGGTTGCTAAGTGACCAGATGTAAGTTGAGAACCACGTGTGTACAATTTGAGCAAACTGGGCCAGCTTGCCATCCTTCTGATCTGTTTGCTATAGTTATTCAAGATGGATGGGTAGTAGAGGAGGTTGAATCCAATTCAACACCTTTTATAATCCTAAATCATGAGGAGTAAATAATTCTACTTTTAACTTTGCTGCAGTCAAACCCCACCTGTTTGTTGAAAGTCTGTTAACAATGGCAATTGTTCCCGATCTGAATGTGAATTCTTTTTGTTTCAGCTACAAGCCCATTGTGGAATACATAGATGCTCAATTCGAGGCCTACTTGCAGGAAGAGCTGAAGATCAAGCGATCCCTGTTTAATTATCACGACACCAGGATCCACGCCTGCTTATATTTCATTGCCCCGACTGGGCACTCACTGAAATCCCTTGATCTGGTCACCATGAAGAAGCTGGACAGCAAGGTACTGTTCTCCTGGATGAGATAGGATCTCAGTTCTTATTTTATCATCACATTGTTATCTAGATCAGGGGTCTCCCACCTTGGCAACTTTAAGATTTGTGGACTTCAACTCCCAGAGAATTCAGCCAGTGAAGCTGAGGAACTGGGAGTTGAAGTCCACAAGTCTTAAAGTTGCCAAGGGAAGATCCTTGTTTTTCTGAAATGGGGATGGAAATTGGAAGGTGAGGCAGAATCTGAGATTCATTTTTTGAGGAGGGGGTGAGCCAGTGCCTCCTTAAAAGGTAAAGGGACATGCCCTTCTCTCAAGGATGAATTAACCATCGCCAGAAACCACATGTCCCCTGTCAGGCAGCCTTAACTATCTAGGAAAGGTGTGTATCTAAGAAGCAGGGGAAGTCATGAAGACCCTGTCCATTTTCTCAGGTTCAAACTATTTCCAGATAAAAGAGTGAGACATTCCCACTGAACCTGTACTAAGGATGATGTCTGACTAGGATTGAATTCTACACTTAGGCAAGAAAAACCAAAAGTACACATATAGACTGGGTGAAATCAGGCTCAATAGCAGTAACTGTGAGAGGGATCTTGGAGTCTTAGTGGACAACCAGCTAAATATGAGCCAGCAGTGTGCAGCAGCAGCCAAAAAAGCTAATGCAATCCTAAATTGCATTAACAGAGAGATACAATTGAGATCAAGTGAGGTACTAATACCATTCTATAAAGCCCTAGTAAGACCACACCTAGAATACTGAATCCAGTTTTGGTCACCACACTATAAAAAAGATGTTGAGACTCTAGAAAAAAATACATTAGAAGAGCAACCAGGATGATTAGGGGACTGGAGACTAAAACATATGAAGAACGGTTGCAGGAACTGGGCATGGCTAGTCTAGTGAAGAGAAGGACCAGGGGAGACATGATAGCAGTCTTCCAATATCTGAGGGGCTGCCACAGAGAAGAAGGGGTCAAGCTGTTTTCTAAAGCACCTGTAGACCAGACAAGGAATAATGGATGGAAACTGAACAAGGAGAGATTTAACCTGGAGATAAGGAGAAACTTTCTGACAGTGAGAGCAATCAACCAATGGAACAGAAGTTGCCCTCGGAAGTCACCTGTAATCAATCAAGGAATCAATTATTAACCAATCCATCATCCTCCACTTAGAGACAAACAACCTACTCTCTAATAAACAATTTGGTTTCAGAAAAAAACTATCCTGTAATCTGCAACTCTTACACTGCAAAAACATATGGACGACACAACTCAATCAGGGCAAAGCAATAGACACAATCTACATAGACTTCTGTAAAGCCTTTGATTCAGTGGTACACGACAAACTACTCCTAAAACTAAAATCTTATGGTAAAATCTTATGGAAACCATCTTGGTTTCCTTCTTTCTCTCTCTTTTTTAAATTTCTCTCTAAATGACATATTGGAAGAAAAAAAAGGGGGGGGGTATTTTTTCTTCCCTCCCAGATTCCTGAATGTTCACCTCAGCTTTTTGCAAACAGCAGGCAAAAGCAATTACTTCTTCACACAACATTTAAATTATGGAATTCTCAGCATATAAAATTTGGTTCCAAAAGGTGTGGTGGATGTTTTTTTTTAAAGTATTAAAAAAGTCACGAAATATAGGGGAACATTCTTTTTATGCTTTCTCTGGGAGGAAAAAACTCTGAAAAGAAAGTTCATAAATTTGGGGGGGAGAATCCAAATAAATATCACCCACATTCTCTCCATACAAGTTTATGTAATGTAAAGCAGGGGTCTCCAACCTTGGTAACGTTAAGCCTGGAGGACTTCAACTCCCAAAATTCCCCAACTGGCTGGGGAATTCTGGGAGTTGAAGTCCTCCAGGCTTAACGTTACCAAGGTTGGAGACCCCTGATGTAAAGGACTTATCTAAGTACTGTTTAATTTCTTATTATGTTCCACCACCTGTTTAATGACATTCTATTTAGATTACTTTCCCCGATGTGGCAACTTTAAGAAGTGTGGGCTTCAACATGGCTAGCTGGGGAATTCTGGGAGTTGAAGTCCACACATCTTAAGGTTACCAAAGTTGAAAAACATTAGTTTTAGATAGAAGGAACTTTATATCCTCTGTTCTTCATTTAGCTTCTTTTGTAGTCTTTCTTTCACTTCAACAAATAATATAGGTTGTAACGTCTGACACCCACTGTGAAATTTTTATAAGAGAATATAATAAGGCAGAGTTCTCCAACTTTGGGGCTGATAGGCCATCCAAGAACTTGAGACTACGATCAACAATTACATTTGGAATTTGATTAATAATTACCTGTGAAATTTTAAGAACGTTTGCAAACATTGAGGGGGGGAAAAGAGGGGACAATTTGGCAGTAGTTGAGAGCTAGCCATTGACAAATTATCCATTTATTGTCTCTCTTCGAGCCACATATGGATGACAAACATACAGTTCTTGATGATGGAGGGGGAAAAATGGCAAAACATGAATTATGACATCACAACACGAAGTTTCTTACTTGTTTCCTGGCACTGGATGCCAATCCCAAGCTGTGTCATTGTGAGAGGTGTTTGTTTATTTGCCACCCTGCAGGTGCTTGTGTTCCCAAAGGTATTCTTCAAAATAAAAAAAATGATCCTGGCAACTGGACTGACGCTTTAATTTACAAAAAATAATTTCTGAAATATATTAAAGGCCAGGGGAGGCTTAGCACCTGATAGACCTGAAGAAAAATGTTCCAAAGTGCAATGTTGCTTTCTACCAACATCCTCAGAATTATAATTAAAAGGTGCATCATGTCACATCAATATATTTTTATTTATTTATTCAATTCATACAGCTGCCCACCTCAAGTGAGTCTGGGAGGCAAAACATCCTGTGTTTAATTTGGAAAAGCAACACAGATTCAAATGGGATGTGCTGCCAAGTTGTAATGGCTTCAATTTCCCAGCAAGTATGTGTTGATTATATTTGGAAATTACTTTATGAGATAAGCAGCATGCCAAAATCTTTTTTTTTTTAAATTATTTGTTTGGATTTAGTAATTAGTTGAACAAGCTTGCACAAAATCTCAGTTTGTGTCCTTTGGAGTGGTTATAAGAAACAAAGTGGAAACTTTTCTTCTCTTGTTGATTTCTGATGTGGAAACACAGGCAAGAAGTGATTAGTATTTCCTGTGCTTTGTGGGGGGAAAAACTTAAACTTAGCATATGAACCTTGATGCAATTGAACAATTCTTGGAATTTACTTTCACAGCGATTCTTATCTCCTTCCTTTAAAATGGTTGCTAATAGTTTATAAGGCATATAATATTTCCTGTATAAAGCATATGCTATGGAGAGAGGAAATAGGAAATTGTGTTATTCTACTTACTTTATATGCGGCTGTCTTCTATATACGTAGTCCTTGATTTATGGCCACAATTGAGTCCAACATTTGTGTTGCTAAGCAGGACATTTATTAAGCGAGTCTTGCCCCCATATTTCTTGCTACATTTGTGAAATGAATCACTGCTGTTGTTAAGTTAGTAACACAGTTGTTAAATGAATCTGGCTTCCCCATTGACTTTGCTTGACCTTGGGGGACATAGCGACGGTCATAAGTATGAACCAGTTGCCAAGCACCTGAGTTTTAATCACATGACCATGGGGATGCTGCAGTGGTGCAAAATGCAAATTAGTGGACCTTATTTGCTGCCATTATTTGGAATTTTTAGAATAAATGACTAGGCTGGAAATGAGTGGTTTGTTCAATCTGAATAGTGTTAAAAATTTAAAGTGTGTCTGATAGGATCCTAGTTCATTTTATAATGCAAATTGCATCATCCAAATTTGACAGCTTAACTAGGAATTAAATAAATATTGACGCAAATACATTTAAGAACATAAAACTCTACCAAAAGCCTTATGGGGTTAAGTCTAATATCAGTCTAGTTCAGCAATCTTTATTATAAAATAATCAGAGGGCTATAATAAGGAAACTCACAAACAGGATGAGATGGTATTAATCCTTTTGATAAGCAAATCCTTGAATTAATATACCATACAACCTCTAAAATTAGTAACTTTGCTCAGTTTTTTTGGCTTAGATGGTCTAACCGCCTACAAGGAAGATGTGAATTTTGTTCTAATAGTGTTCTGATATTGTTAATATTTTCTGTTCCTTGTTTTTCCTAAGTGGATTGTTATATTGGTTTTGTTCTGTGTTTTTACGTGAGCCATTAAGAGCCATTAGGAGTCTGGCAGTATACAAATTTAACCAAACAGTTTAACCCAGGGGTCAACAACCTTTTGGACCTCAGGGACCACCAAACTCATAATTTTAAATCCCGTGGACCAGAGACCCTGGGAAAATAAAAATAAAAAGTCTGTAGGAAAATTCCCCACCCCGTTTTCCTACCGATCGATCATTCTTTATTTGGGACCGCAGCAGAGGTGGTATTCCACAGGTTCTCACCAAATTTGGGGAACCAGTAGTGGAAATTTTGAGTAGTTCGGAGAACCGGCAAATCCCACCTCTGACTGGAGATTTTACAGTATCCTTACCATGCAATGCCCACCAAGCCACACCTATAGAACCAGTAGTAAAAAAAATTTGAATCCCACCACTGGATCGCAGGATACCGTCTCCAGCTCCATTCTCAGGGAAAAGAGAGAGAGACTTTTGGCTTCGTGCAAGGAAAGTAGCAGAAGCAGCAGAAGTCTTTCTTTCTCTCCCCCAAACTCCGCCAGAAATGAGTTTTTGTGAGACTTGTGCAGCCTCTTGGAGCAGGATGCCTTGCAGGGTCCCAAATACTCATTTCTGGTGGAGTTTGGGAGAGAAAGAAAGACTTTTGCTGCTTTCCCTGCATGCAGCCAAAAGCAGAAGAAGAAAGAAACGGAAAGAAGCAGCCCGGTGGCCAGGCGAGGCATGTGGGGCAAGTTCCCCACCACCCGCCCTTTCCCCCCTCCCTTCACTACCTCATGTTGTTCGCAATGCATGCGATGCAAGCCTTGTGTTCCCACGGGCCATGTGGGGGGGCGCAGCCTTGTGTTCCCACACAGCCTGGATTAATTGCTTTGGGGGTGACATTTCTCTGCAGACCACCAAAATTTTCCCGTGGACCACCAGTGGTCCCCTCCCCACTGGTTGGCAACCACTGGTTTAACCAATCAACAGTTGATAATCCCACCCTCTATGAATTTGTCCACTTATCCACTAAAAACATCTAACACTAGTGGTCATTGCCACACCCAGTGGCAACCAATTCCAACTTGGATATTTGATATATAAAGAAAGAAATCCTGAGTCATCCCATAATTGCTTTTGGTGCTGATTCCAAGTTTTAATATAGCAAGAGAAATCTTTCCTGACCAACTTTTCATGCCATGCATGATTTTAGAGTAAATATTGCTACTGTGTTTTCCTTTGCTAACATTCTTTTTTTTAAGCAAGAAATCCACAAACTTCTAATTGGGTAGCCACTTTTTGTACTTTTTTCAGCTGCGTGGCATTTTTTTCTTCTTGAGATCTGAAGATGAGAATCGTTCTCTTAAGTGCAATTCTGCCATAGATTTACACAGAGGCATCACTGCCCCTGGTAATTTTATGCCCTTTTAAAATGTAGCTGTACGCTAATTACTTCCACTCAAGTGGAGACTACAACTCACAGTAAAATAAGGCTTGTTATCTTGGGATGGTAACCTAGAGTGAAGGAGAGATTTGATTCATAAAAGGATCTACTGTGCAGTTCAGTCAAAAGCTAGCATGTGGTTCTTTGACAAATATTGGGGCACAAGATTAAAGCAGGAAGATCTGGACTCCATACTAAAACAATTAACTGGTGATGGCTTTAAAAGAGGTACGGGTGAATTCATGGATGACCATCAGTCTTGTAGACTTATTGTTACTTCTAAGTAGAGGAAATACGTTCCCAGAACAATGATGGGAGAAGGATATGTCTCATTTTCTTCTGGTAAGGACCAAACAGGCATCTGGTTGGACACTGTGAGAAATAAAACATTGGGCCACGATGGGTCTTGACTTGATCGAGCAGGACTGCTATTATGTTCTTAAGTAAGCCATGATAGTGCTGAGCATTATTTCCATCCTAGTTTAATTAAGTGGCTTGCTTCCAGATTTGATTGAATGTGGGGGAGGAGAGATTTCAATGCACATAGAGAGACAAATTGCATGTTATACTGTATCTCTGTGTAGATGGAATCTCAGCTGCAATATGCCTTTCTATGCTAGTTCTGACCAAGGCTTTTGAGACCGCAATTAAGCTTAGTTAAAACAACTCTAGTTTTATTTCAGCTCTGGGAATTATGACCTGCTTAGTGATTAGCATGACTTACAACCGTCCTTCGGGACTCAATTTCAGTTGTTAATTGAGGACTGCCTGTTATCTACGTCCTTGTATTTTTTTTACCTGCTCATTTTGGGGTAGCTTTTCTTTTATATTCTACCATCATCAGGAACTGATGCAGCATAACGATCTTTTGTTTTGCAGGTCAACATCATCCCAATAATAGCCAAGGCTGACACCATTGCCAAAAATGAGTTACACAAATTCAAAAGCAAAATCATGAGCGAGTTGGTGAGCAACGGGGTCCAGATCTATCAGTTTCCAACTGACGAAGAGACGGTGGCTGAGATTAACGCCACCATGAGCGTAAGTCTTTCTTTCCTTTCATCTTCTGAACACATCTTGGGATAAATGGCTGCTTCGTTACATTTTTATTTTATATACACACACACACACACACACACACACACACACACACACACTTCGGAAGCCCATACATCTTGAATTTTACACATTCTATCCATGTGCATGTGTGTGCATGTGTAAACTCAAGGAACACGGTGAAAAATTGGAACTAAACTTAAACATAAAGAAGAACAAACTAAAGGCAACAGGTGCAAGAAACAGATTTAGAACTGACTGCGAAGATATCAAAGTGGATATCTTTTAGGACAGAGTTCCCTGACCTTTCTGGGTTGATGGCCCGGAAATAGGGGGAGGGGCAGGGGCCTTTATGCACGCATGTGTGAACGGGCTTACGAGCACGGATGCAAATTGGTTGCTAGCGCGCACACAGGATGGCGACAGTAGTGCCCCCGCAGCACTTGGGTTGATGGTAGCACCCACATGGCACTCACGGCAATGATAGCGCCTTCCTGCCAGTAGCGCCCACACGGTACTCGCACTGCCAGTAGCTCCCACGTGGCACTCACAATGACGGTAGCACCTGTGCAGTGCTCACACTGATGCTAACACAAGTGGGGAGTGTGCGCATGAATACATGTATGCATGCGGCCCAGTGGCCAACAAGCCACGGCCCACAGATTGGGACTCTTGTAGGATCAACAGTCAACAGAAAAGAAACAGCAAATTACATTACAGGCAGAATCATTATTAATTCAATGTTGTGAAAATTTACTGATTGACCCATCTATGAAGAGCTTATTCATTTGGCCAGTCTGCAGAAGAAATGGGTACACTAGTTCTCGACCTACAACCATTTATTTAGTGACCATGCAAAGTTACAACAGCACTGGAAACACTGGAAAAAAGTGACTTACGGCCTTTTTTCACACATACGTTGTAGCATCCCCTTGGTCATGTGATCCAAATTCAGGCACATGGCAATTGAGACTCATTTATGACCATTGCGGTGTCCCAGAGTCACGCGATCCCCTCTTGTGACTTTACTTTACAACCGTTTTACTAACTTAACAACTGCAGCGATTCACTTGATACCTGTAGCAAGAAAGGTCGTAGTAATGGGGCAAAATTCACTTAGCAGCTGTACGGCTTAGCAGTGGAAGTTTGGAACTCAGTATAGAATAGGGATAGGAATAGAATAGAATAGAATAGAATAGAATAGAATAGAATAGAATAGAATAGAATAGTTGGAAGGGACCTTGGAGGTCTTCTAGTCCAACCCCCTGCTTAGGCAGGAAACCCTATACCAGGGATGTCAAACTTGCGGCCCAGAGGCTGGATACGTCACATGCTGGCCACGCCCACCCCCCGGTTTAACAAAGAGGGAAAAGTTGTGATACATCGTGTGCCGACGTGTCGTCGCGAGTTTGACACCCCTGCCCTATAGTACCATTTCAGACAAGACATCTGTAACAGCCTTTTTCATCAGCTGCTCTGAGTTCATAGAAAAGTAGCTGAAATGTATAAAAGTGAAACCTGAAGGAGTAACCTGAAGTTTTCGTTATCTGAAAGAGATGCTATTGAAATTAGTTCATGGCCATCATATTCATGTGTACTTTCGTGCTGTGCAGCTCAGAAGTTTACACTTTCCTAGGCAGACGGAGAGCAGGAAAGACCACAAAAATACCGGTTGCCATCATCCCACGGATCGTGGGGGAAAGTATTGTCCCACCCATGTGCCCAGTTCTTAACCCAATCTTATGAAAATGGACCTGGTTGCCAACTTCCTCAAAATAGAAACCGATTCAGAACTGAAAACTGCAGAATGAGAACAGCACCTGGAAGACTCTCCAGAGATGGAAAGACCCAAATGTCACTTCGTCTGCCTTTGGGGCTCCACTTCAAAATGTATACTATCCCGGAAGGAGGAAGAACCCCAAATATATATTTTATGGCTTCCTTGGCGAGGCTGGAGATGTCCCTTCTTCTTTAGGCAGAAGGATTGTTTACTGCAAATTCCCAACTCTCCAGGGTGGTTTTGAGGTTTTGGTTTGAAGCTTAAGAAATGGAGGAAATTAACTGTAGACCAGATCAGGCTTTGGGTGTGTGTGTGAGAGAGAGAGACAGACAGAGAGAGAGAATGAGAACACGTGTGTATATTTTGAAACTTTAGCAAGGTATTAATTACATGCTTTCAAATAAATAAATCAGTGGCTTTGGGCCAAATCTGGTCTTCTGGGTGTTGTCACAAACCTTGCTAATTAAATTATATCATCTTGCCAAAGAAGGCCAGAGAGGTGGTCTCATAAAGAATAATAGATTCAATGAAACAGTTTTCAGAAAACTGTCAAAAAATTAATATAAACTAGGGACAACCAAAATGAAACATCTTTAAAAGGCAGAGTGGTTCCCCAGCGGCAGTTCTCTTTCAGTATGCAAGTGAACAACAGGTTGAAGTTGTGAGGTAAAAAATAGACAATGTGGAGGCCAGGTGTGGTGCATCCATGAGGCATCATTGGGAAGGTCCTTCCACATTTTATTTACTTCTTTGTATCCCGCCTTTATTATTTTTACAAGCAACTCATGCAAGTGGAGTCCCACCCAGATCCCTCCCAAATTATGTGCATTAGTCATCTATGTGGTAGTGGAATATGAAGAATCCTGAAGACTGGTTGTCTCCTTCTTTTCTGTAATGTTATGTTCAGATAATAGATAAAATATCAAACAATGAATAAATAAAAATGCAGTCTGAGCCAAACTTTAACCTTTGCCTCTGACATTTGCAAGAATCCTCTGGAAGGTTTTAAATCAAATGGTCTTTGGCATTTCCACCATATGGCATACAGACAACCTTCTTCTTCTTCTTCTTCTTCTTCTTCTTCTTCTTCTTCTTCTTCT